TGACCATGTGATATTTCAGTTTTTCTTTTTTAATAAATTTGCAAAAAATTCTACATATCTGTTTTTTTCTGTCAAGATGGGGTGCTGAGTGTACATTAATGAGAAATAAAATGAACTTTTTAGATTTTAGCAAATGGCTGCAATGAAACAAAGAGTGAAAAATTTAAAGGGGTCTGAATACTTTCCGTACCCACTGTATGTGCAGGACTATTTCCTGGCCAGGTGCAGTCACTGCCTGGAGATAAGCTAACCTGCTTGGTGGCAGCTTCATAACTGCCGTACACACGTGGAAGTGATCTCAATCTTCTCATCCAATTCTCGCCAAGAAAGTGAAAAAGCATGTTTTTCTACCATTTAAAAACAACACTGTAGCTATAGGAGGATCAATACCCAGTTTGCATCCGCTTTCACAATGTTTTCTTGTTGTTAAGGACATTTTGGAAGATGTATTTCATTTTTACATGATGCCAGTAGTGTTAGCAAAGGCTCCTTTAGACCTGTTTGGTGGCTGTTTGAATCTAATCAGAGATGGGGGGTTGCTCCTGCTGACCTCCAGGTGTTCTAGTACCTGGCCTTTGGCCAAAAGGTGAGATGGTTTGCAATTTTATGCTGCTTTGTTTCGGCCTTGTTTTTCTTCTTTAGCACTGTTTTGCATGTAGTTTCAGTCTGCAGGTAACACACGGTCTTTTTTTGTGTTTGTCCACACTGTATGTTTCTTTCAAAAGCAGTGGCCTCTCTGATCATGTTTCATTACTCGGCTGATAAAGGTCCACATTTTTGCCATATTTCGTTGTTGAGGTTATACTCGCATAGTATATAATGAATGACACTGATAGGGTTGTGCTTTTGTGTAGCTCGCGGGTATGAATACATTTCTGTGGGTGTTTTTTTTTTTTTTACGTTTTTATCAGGTTTCATGGTCTCTGGGGGAAGTTTGTGGTGGACACAAACGTGCTGATGTGTGCTAACAACACCTGATACAGAACAAGGCATTGTACTCTACTTTAGAAACAAGTTACTCACCTGACCTGGAATCTAACCGTAACCCTTTAGTACACCCATAAAGTTTGCACAACATTCTCACAACTAACTAACTTTTTTAGCTCTGTTTGCTCTCGAAGAACAGCGCCGTCAACCTGTTGTGTAACATTCAACAGATTTCCTTACAAATGTGACACCGTGTCTTAACCCTGATAATAGATTAAACAAAATAAGTAAATACAAAGACTGATAGAAGCTGACACACTTGCGTTTCATTAACATTTTTGTTTTAATATTAATTACGCTGACGTCTCAAAATGAACGGGATGATTATTTATTGTTGCATCTGTAAATCTGTCATCAAGGATTTCAGTCAAGGAAATGAGAACGTAAAGGCCTGAAGTTTGTCCTGTTTTTTTTCTGTATGTTTTCTATATTTCTTTATTTTTTGCTGTTATTCAACAGTTGACTGTGAAGAGGTCTGACATGACAAAGGTCATCTATAACTTTAGTTTGGATATTTTGAAGCTTAGATCATATTAAAGAAAAAGAGCTACCGATAAATCGGCCAGGTAGATACGTAGGTGTTGACAGGCCCACATGGGGAAAAAGTGGAATGAATGGACTGAATCCCAGCATGCTGTTGTATCCACAGAAGTGTAGTTGTGTGTGGGTGATGTAAGGGTCACTGAGCTGCATAAATGTGCTTTTTTTTATGTCAGTAACTCACAGGTTGGGAGAATTATTACATTTTTGCAGAAGCTTGCCATCCAGTTTTAACGGTCAGAGGTGTGTTTATGGAAATCTATCAGACCACTTGAAAGTTAATTTTTTAATCAAGGTTTAGGGCCTGACCAATAAGTTGAAACGGTATTAACATCTTCATATATTTTATGGGACAACCCCCTGTGTGGTGGCCCTTTCTCGTCTCAGAGAGCAGCTTTCAGAGGGAGCCATTGTTTCGGTGGCATTTTGTTGGTGCTCGAGATCAAGGGCGAGTGTGTTTACCGGGGGGTCACGGTAGTGAGATTAGACTCTGATAAGAGGAACGAAAGCGCGTGATTCGGCCAACACCCACCGTGTTCCCGGTTGGGTTAATGATGAACCGTTTGTACAACAAAGTGAGTACTGTTACTCCAAGGTTACCTTAGAGCTAATCCTGCATTGCCACAACTTGAAGTCTCTTGAGAGTTTGGTGGGTCGCTGACTGTAGAGATCATGCTTCCTTTTCTAGAGTTCGACAGGGCTTACAGCACCTGTTTTATCTGACTGGTATTTAACTGGAACCGTTGAATCCTTCTGCTGTTCAAGGTCTCAACAAATATTACGAGGCAGAGCCCGTAATTTCCAAGATGCATATCGTAAAAGGTATACAGGTACAGGAGTGGGAACGTCCTCTTGCCCCCGAACTCTCATTAAGTCACGTCCCCACCTCAGCACCTGTCAGTCAGCTAACCTTCTGTCGTCCTTCATTACAGGACAAGTCCCGCAGAGCTTCACAAAAGCCCACATTAAGACACCATTACTGAGTAATCACCGGCCGACTATCAGCGAAAGTAGGAAAAAGTGAGTCAAAAGAAAGCTTTAATCAGTGTGGGAAATGGAGGGGAGGACTTCTTCTTCCTCTGAATGGTACCCTTGCGGTTCTTTTCTTCCCGTTTTAATTGCTGGCTCCAAAAAGTCTTAACTGTATTGAATACTGTTTAAAATTCTCTCAAAATACAAAGTTCGTTAATAATTTCGAACTTTTATCCCAACCATTTATTACTGAGTTTTGTGTTCATCTTTTATTCTCATGTATTTAAACCCCTGGCAAAGGAAGCTTTTAAGTAAATGCATGTCTGTGAAGCCAAAGGCAAACTTCCACCTGAGTGGATATTTAAAGATGTCTAATCTCATCTAATCTAAAGCTCGGGTAAACCCAAATATACGAAACAGAAACAGAAAAAAGTAGGGACTACCTTTCGAAAACATAGCGTAGCATTTAGCGTCTTTGGGGGCTTACAAGGAATCTATAGGCATGGTGTGTTTTAACACATTTCATGTTAGCTGATTGGTGTTGTGTAAAGGTTGACTAGTCCCACCTCAGCTCCACCCACGCTTCCCAATTTTCCAAAATTCAGATTTGTGGCTTCAGAAAGGGCC